GGCGCAATTGTCCTTCTTCATGCATGTGCACACAACCCGACTGGTGTAGATCCAACTGTTGATCAGTGGGAGCAGATAAGGAAGTTGATGAGGTCAAAAGGGCTGATGCCTTTCTTTGATAGTGCTTATCAGGTAATTGCGAAGTTAAAATAAGAGCAGTCCATTAAATTATAGTGCTAAGATCAACTCAAGCATTAAAGGTGCATAATGTTGTGTAGGTGATGGCAATGTTAAAAGTTTTTAAGTCCATGATATCCGCGTTAGATTTAATTCACACACAGAAGTAGTTTGTCTTGACAATCATGTTCACTTGAAGAAAGCAATTATTGGTTTCACTTAAGAATGCTGTCAATGGCATTGCATTATTGGTAGCCAATGTCCTGGCTGATAGATTGTTAAAGAGTGTGTTTTTTTATTAACTTCCTGCTATTTTACCTGAATTTTTGTAACAATACTGGAGATACATCTTTGCAGGGGTTTGCTAGTGGAAGTCTGGATACAGATGCACAGTCTGTCCGCATGTTTGTTGCTGATGGCAGAGAATGCCTTGTAGCTCAAAGTTATGCTAAGAATATGGGTCTATATGGAGAACGTGTTGGGGCTCTCAGCATTGTAAGAGCTTTAACTAGAAATTTCAAATATTTTTATAGTGTATATCTGTTTGTGCTGGTTCTTGGTTCGTATAACAGTAGATTTATCTGCTTTTTCTCTTACGAAAATATGGATTAAGAGCTTCACAGTTAGAAACCCATCCTTTCCGGGGACATTTTGTTTGACAGGTTTACATAATGCTATATAATGAATGTCAAAATCCCAATTCTATCTTTTAGTATCTCTGATTACGGATTCTTTTTCATGATCATATCCCTATTTAGGGCCACTAGAAGTGAGTCACTTATTAGACCTTTTTCTTATTTTGCCTTTATGGACGTGTAAGCTGAGTTTCTCAGTTTCATAGCCTCTTTTGGTTTAGCAAATATCTCATGCATGGGTGACATAGGAGTAGCTGACTTTTATTTTGTTGGGAATTTGTAGAAGTACCTTCCAATCAACAAGCTTGCTTTCAAGCCTTCAACTGTAGATGGTGTGGTGGAAATCAGATATTCAATTTGTTTAGTCAGTGAAACAGACACGATAATCTTTGTCAATGGAAATTACTAGCTTAACCTTTTCATTGAGTTGGTCACTTGACAAGGTATGAGAGCCAAATTTCGAGAGGCCCTGAGTTCAAGCCTCATTATTGTCGATGTAAGATCTTTTTATATTTAACCCTGCTACTTTCAGCTGGGAGATTTTGGGTCACTTGAGTTCAAGGGCCCCCGAGAGCAGCGGAATGTCAAATTAGCTTGGTATACAATGGCAGGACAACCAAATCTTTTGATTAAGTTGTTTATTGACAGCTATCATTATCTAAAATTTTCCCATAAGTTTCATCATCTTAGAGTTCCCCACCAAATGGGTTGTTAGTCATGGCGTGTAGGTTCGATGAAATGGTTGATACAAATTTACAAATGGTCATCATTCCTCATAAGTGTTCGCAAATTTCTGGCAGAGGGAATAAAGTAACTGTCAGAGAACTGTTTGTAATAACTCCTCAAGTGTTAGTATCTTTTTTTTTCTTTTCTTTTCAAAAGTTATGTGAAACAATTTTGTTAAGGCTAACTTTATCCTTGTTTGGTTGCTTTTTTGAGATAGCAATAGGAAGCATTTAATTTTTTGTTTAATCATCTATGATTCCTTGTTCTGGTGTTTATTTTGATGTTCTCATTCAGTTTACCTAATGGACATTGACTCCTGCAGGTTTGCAAAAGTGCTGATGTGGCAGGTAGGGTTGAGAGTCAGCTGAAGCTTGTTATTAGGCCCATGTACTCTAATCCTCCAATTCATGGTGCATCTATCGTGGCAACCATTCTTAAGGACAGGTACTAGATCTGTACAGTTGACTATAAACATCAGTTTCTCTTTGAATAACACTAAAATCCGGGGAAGCCTGTTCCTTCCCCTGTTCAATAATTATGCAAGCGTAATAGATTAGCAAGGTCTGAAAGATCAGTTTATTCGGTATGGATTGGCTGTTTCAGTTTGGAAAAATGGTCTCCCCAGTATGAAACTCTATCCTGAAAATCGTGTTTGGATAAATCACTTCTGCCAATAAGGATTTTATAGTTTTAGTATGTATCAGCTGATAGCCTCCGATACGGGCCCGAAACAGAACCTTATTCTTGTGCAAAAAATGGAGGTTTTTTTTTTTTAACCTTCGGCCAAAACTGACTGATGGATTTACCGGTAGTAGTTGGGGATATCCAATTGTCGAAAGCAAAGGACCGGGAACTTGATGCAAGCGGTCACAAAAAGGACCGGGAACTTGATGCAAGCGGTCACAAAAGTTGAGAGCGGCAGAACTTGAGGGCAGCTTTATGTTGATGAGATGAGGTTAATTCTGATGATGTCATTGGTGGGACTCCTCCGTCTTTGATGTGACTAACATGAAAAGATGTACCTTTAACTTTGTTTATCACTGATGGAACTAAAAAAGAATGAACTTGCCTTCTAATTTGATCATGAGAACATTTGTTTTCCTTCAAAATTTCAACTTAATATCTGTTTTGGGGTGTCGGCAATGGTCCGAGTTCCAGTCTATCTTAAAAGATCTAACACTATCGCCTGGATGCTGATTTTGACTTGAGGACATCTTTTGTTACTTAAGTTATAATTGATGTTGCGTATATAAATGAAGCTAGCATTTCTGGAGTATTACTATAGTTTACATGACTTTTAGGGCTTGTATAGAATATGAAAACCCTAATCTTATTCATGAGATAACATGGGCTTATATAGGCCCCTACAACTTACAAATAAGCCCCTAAACCTATTAATATTTCAACACTCCTCCTCAAGATGGGCGAAAGATATCCACTAAGCCCATCTTGTCACATCCTCTAATCATATCTACGGAGCTAAGTCCCTTAGTCAGACAATCTGCTGCCTGATCCTTAGTTGGAACATGACTTAATTCCAGTAGTCCATTGTCCAACTTCTTTTTGATGAAGAACCTATCGATCTCGATGTGTTTGGTTCTATCATGCTGCACTGGGTGGTTGGCGATACTGATGGCTGACTTGTTATCACACCACAGCTTCATCTTGGCTCCTTGATCCAGCTTCAGCTCCACCAACATACTCTTTAACCACAACAACTCTGTAACTCCTAAGGCCATGGCTCTATACTCTGCTTCAGCTGTTGATCTCGCTACCACCGATTGCTTCTTGCTCTTCCACGAGACCAAGTTGCCTCCTACAAAGATACAATATCCTGAGGTGGATCTCCTGTCATCAGCACAGCTAGCCCAATCAGAGTCGCAATAACCCTCGATGCTCACATGTCCATTCTTTTTGAATATCAGCCCCTTTTCGGGGGCACTCTTTAAATATCTCAGAATCTGGTACACAGCGTCCATATGACCCTTCCTCGGATCGTGCATATAGCGACTCACCACGCTCACTACAAAAGAGATATCAGAACGTGTATGACTCAAATAGATCAATCTTCCCACCAGCTTCTGGTATCTGTCACGATCAACTGGTTCTCCGTCCTCAGCACCTAGCTTGAACTTCTGGTCGATCGGTGTAGTTACAGGTTTGCACCCTAACATTCCTGTCTTTTTGAGAAGATCCAGTGCATACTTTCTCTGGGATAGGACGATTCCCTCCGCTCCTCGAGCTATCTCTATTCCAAGAAAGTATCGAAGTAAGCCAAGATCTTTCACCTCGAATTTCTTACCCAGTCTCATTTTGAGTTGGGTAATCTCCTTCTCATCATCCCCTGTAATAATCATATCATTCACATATACCGCAAGCATGGTAATGTGGCCTCCACTCCGTCGAAAGAATACGGTATGGTCGGCGTTGATCTGTTGGTACCCCATACCAATCATAACCCTTCTGAATCTGTCAAACCAATCATGAGGAGACTGCTTCAGCCCATAGAGAGACTTCTTCAATCTGCAGACCTTTCCCACTGTTTGATCTGTACCGAATCCTGGTGGTATCTCCATGTATACCTCCTCCACTAGATCTCCATGAAGAAATGCGTTCTTCACATCTAGTTGGTGTAGCTTCCATCCACCATTTACCGCCAGAGAGATTAAGGTCCGAACAGTGCTCATCTTTGCCACCGGTGTAAAAGTCTCATCATAATCGATGCCATATGTCTGACTATACCCTTTTGCCACCAGACGAGCCTTGTAGCGTTCAACTTGTCCATCTGGATTCTGCTTCACAGTGAAGACCCATTTACATTAGGGGTGTTATCGGAGCGGATACGGTTCGGATATGACACTTACCATATCCATATCCGCTTTTTATAAACGGATACGGATACGGATACGGATCATCTTCGGTAAGAAAAAACCTTAACCATATCCGCACTTATCGGAAACAGATACGGTTCGGATATTTGAGAATCAGATCGGATATGATCACGGATATAAACGGATATTCGACAATGGATATGGATTGAATATATGAATTAGTACACCTATGCATAAATTACAACCAAATAGGTAAATGTATGAACTTCATTATTTAGGTTTGTAAGTTGCGAAATCTCTCTTGAAGTGGATAGTTTCTTTCTGGCCAAAAAATGGGTATGTCCTTGAGCAAATGATAAAAGGACCTTATTTAGTATAAAGGGGTATGAGTCTATGTCAGATTTCGAATTTAGGCTACTCTTGGACAAGATATAACACAATTATAAAATGAGCAACATATTCCTGCCTGCTCATGTTCTTCATTTCTTCGAGTTCTTGGTTGTAATTCTCCAGCTACAAGATAAAGCTCATTTTCAGTCCTAGACTAGCTAAAAAATTATAACCGAAATAGTAATGAGAAAGATCATACAGGGAGCTGCAGATCCTAGCCAATTCTTCATCGGACTTCTCAAATTGGTTCAAAGACTTCTCTTTTTTCTCCTCTGCTTGCTCCTCATTGATTGAAACCAAATGGAGCTTAGAGGAGATGGATTCGAGATCAGAGGATTCAGTCATGATCAAATTCTGATCCTCAACTAAGATCTTCAAAAGGAAATTGCAATAACAAAATTTTGAGGCTAATCCATTGGCAATTTAAAATAAAACAGGAATTCAAAGAGAAGAATTGACCTTTTGCTCCTCAGGATCGATCGAAGTGAGCGAAAATATTTGGAATTTGAGCACCTGATGAATAAATGGAATGATTTAAATAATTTTATGTTTACAATTAAGAAAAAAATAGAGATTTGACAAAATTGATACCTCGAATCCATTGTCGGTATCGTAATCGATGGGGAAATCGGAGTCCTGGTGATGAACGATGAATCGATGGGTTCGTGGACAAGGAGTTCAAAGATTTCCAGAGGTCCGGGAACGACGCCGAGTCGGAGCTGAAGGACGCGTTTGACGCGTACGACCTGGATCGGAATGGGGTGGTCTCGGCCAAGGAGCTGCAGATGGTGCTGAGGAAGCTGGGGGGTAGGTGCGGTCGTGCGGGGTCGAGGATTGCGAGAGGATGATCAGGTCGGTGGACGAGGATAAGGATGTGTGTGTTAATTTTGGGGAGTTTAAGAGGATGATGATGAAGCGCCGCTGGAGCAGAGGCCAGAGAGGGACGCTCACGCTAGGGTTAGAACTTAGACAACTTGGACTTTATATCTTAGAGGTTTGGGTTAGCGGTTACGGGTTGTAAATATTGCAACTTTGGACCCGAATTATTATTATATTACGGATATCCGTATCCGCAACACTCATATCCGTTACCGAATCCGTATCCGAAAAAAAATCCGAAACCATATCCATGCCATATGTCTGACTATATCCTTTTGCCACCAGACGAGCTTTGTAGCGCTCAACCTGTCCATCTGGATTCTGCTTCACAGTGAAGACCCACTTGCATCCAACTGCTCTCTTCCCTTTTGGTAGTTTTACTAACTCCCAAGTGCGGTTCTTCTCAAGGGCCCTTAGCTCTTCGTGCATAGCAGCTTTCCATTTCTGGTCCTTCTTTGCAACCTGTCAATTGTTAGGTATAGTAACAGAGTCCAATGATGCAATGAATGTCCCATGTGCAGGGTGGATGTTAGAATATGATACAAATTGGACAAGATCCCAACCATATCTATCGGGAGGATTTTTCGTATTACTACGAGTAGTCCTCCGTACTGATATTGGTGTGGGAGGAGTAGGGAGGAATGTTATCAGTAGGGAGAGGAACGTTATCACCTTGGGATAAAACTGGTGGTGGTGTAGGTGTTTCAGGAGTCAGGGCAGGTGTTGGCAAGAGACTTGGCAGCACTAGTGGCACTGTAGGTACTGTTCCTGCAATTTGCTTGCCCTTCCTACTATAGGTTAGTAGTTCCCCCTGAACAGTGGGCCTAACACCTCTTGGCTCATTTTTTCTTTTCTTCATCATTCTCCTGCTCCTCAACCAATTCTCCTTCCCAAGGAATCGATACAGAAATGAATTTCTCCACACTGTTCACCGATCTCTCACTATTCTCCTCCTCTTGCCTCATACTTCTAGTATTAGGCGAGTTACTAGCGGATGAAGTTACCTTCTGGGTGTAATACGGCTCGAGTTCTCGAAAGTGCACATCCATGCTCACAAACAACCTTTTCTCCACTGGGCTCCAGCAAACATATCCCTTCTGAGTAGCAGAATATCCCACAAAGATGCACTTCACAGCTCTAGGGGCAAGCTTCCCGACAGATGGCCTGTTGTCCTTCACAAAGCACACACAGCCAAACACTTTAAGTGGAAGAATCCCACCATTATCTCCGACTTCCAATCCAGCACTCTCGAGGGCATTCTGTTGATCAGCGCTGCTGCGGTCAACACTGCTTGTCCCTATAATATTTCTGGGACATTCATAGAGATCATCATGCTTCTAGCAACCTCTAAGAGATGTCGGTTCTTCCTTTCCGCTACCCCATTCTGTGCTGGTGTGTATGGACAGGTTGTCTGGTGATGTATTCCTTGAGCTGACAAATATTCTTCAAGGGCTCTGTTGGTATACTCTGTCCCATTATCTGACCTCAATACTTTCACCACTGCTCCGTATTGAGTCTGAACAGTCCTATGAAAATTTTGGAAGCACCCAAACACATCACTCTTATTCTTCATCAGGTATAACCAAGTAACACGAGAGAAGCAATCAATAAATGTAACAAAATATTTGTATCCATTCATAGAACTTGTGGAACAAGGCCCCCAAACATCTGAATGTACCAAGTCAAATGCATGAGAACTTTTATGACCAGAATTAACATAGGAGCTTCTAGTAAGCTTTCCAAACTCACATGCATCACACACAAGTTTCTGTTTATTTGCTTTCTCAAATAAAGAAGGATACAATCTACCTAAAACACTAAAGGATGAGTGTCCCAAACGCTGGTGATGAAGCATTAACTCATTTTCAGCACTCATTTTAGATCCTACTACTTCCTCTATGACTGACACCAATGCTGAATCCAGCCCTTCACGATCCAGATACCACAGTCCACTACGCCATGTGTCAGTCCCAAGTCTCCGTCCTGTCCCCTTCTCCTGGAAAATCACCTTGGGAATATCAAAAGAAACAATGCATTTTAGTTGGAGGATGATAGAACTAATGGACAAAAGATTGATTGACTGGAAAGGAAGGAGCATGCAAAACATTGGACAAAGTTACTGAACCAGTACAATCAATTGTACCCTTACCAACCACAGGCTGAAATGTACCATCAGCTGTTTGAATACTATCAGGCGATGCTAAGTGAGTATATGATGAGAACTCACTCGCATTACCTGTCACATAACGAGATGCACCGGAGTCGACTATCCATGCTGATGATCTGTCAGGAGACATAGAAGCAAAAGCATGTATGTCATCAGTACATTTGTTCGGATGAGCATATGTAGCAGTATTGCTGAACCAGTACAATCAACTGTACCCTTACCAACCACAGGCTGAAATGTACCATCAGCTGTTTGAATACTATTAGGCGATGCTAAGTGAGTATATGACGAGAACTCACTCGCATTACCTGTCACATGACGAGATGCACCGGAGTCGACTATACAGGTGATCGGAATTGAGGGGCGGGTGGTGTGATCGGAATTGAGGGG